CCAGCGCCGCTATCAAATGCCACCAAGAAGATTTACTTATGAAAGCATCTAAACAAAGAATTTCTTGACATGTCGCTGCTGAAAGTGAAGCAGCTCCTACCAAAAACTGAGGAGATACGTTCACTAAAGAAGATAAAAAATATCTATGACTTTCTCCGTCCGTTATATTACGTGTACACTAAATTTCATAATGTTTAATTAAGCTGGTAAAGCACTGAGATAACAAGCAAATAAACTTACTTTCTCTTAATATAAGTAGGGATGACATGCTAGGAATAAAAATAAATGATCACTGTTGGAAATTACCATATTACAATACAATACCATTCTACATATAAATTAAAAATATGATAATAAGATACAAAACTAATTTGAAAATCTCCGACTAACTCATCAAGCATTATAGTCGTGACATTATTTTTTTACTATTATAAAAATATAATATAATAAATTGTATCTAGCTGTTTTACATTATTTTTGAATTAGATACTAGGGCAATTATTAAATTTGTTGTTTTTTCAAATAGAAAATCCCATTCAAAAGGCTAGTAATTTGCTACTCTTGTGCCTATTTTTTTCCGCTTTATACCTTTATAATGATACCCTATATTCAGTCACCACACGGATTAATAATCAAGTTTTAAAATTAAACAATATATAAGATCATCTGATGCCATCTATAATATATAGTAGTTAGCGCTCGTTCGTTGTGGGCAATCTACAATGTCGTTAGATTGTCTCGTAGTCTTATTACGGTAGACGATGGCCAGATGGGACGAAATTACTTTTTCTTCTCGGCTGAGTCAGTGAATTAAGATTAAAGATTATACAGGTTGAAATAGAAGTCGTTACTATAATTTTAAAGTAGTATTCCAGCAGTGAATCTGAATATTTTGAACCGACTTCATTTTGAAGTACAAGGTCCTCAGTTCGATTGTCTTTTTTTTAGTTTGTTATATTTCTAATAAAATTAATAAAATTATTTTTTTATCGATTTTAATAGAGTATTCGCATTCGAGTATTCTGACACTTTCCTATGGTTGACGGGGAGAGAATGCTTTTAGCATTAATTCCGCCATATTTGTACTAATGAATAAATAAATAAATAGATATATTTACAGATTAATCTCATAGAAATTTTATCAAAATCAGTTCAGTAGTTTAATTCTTAAATTAAAATAACTAATTTAGTCATAACTGAAGTGGGTTTCTTTTTTGTTTTTTTAATTATCTTTAATGATACATACATGAGTCGGAAAACAAAGAAAACTTTTTAACACTTAATTTTTTTGTTTCTTTTTTTTTAATTACGAACTTTCTGTTCTAACTTATTTTATAGCATGGGTAGATTCTCACTTTTACCTACAACTAACACGCCAACTTGCGTAGCGCCATAATACTCGTAAGCACTTTGCTTACAGTAAATAAATTACTAGATTTAGTTCCCTGTCAATTTTTCGGTCAATTATGACAGAAGTATCCTCCTATTATTTCATCAGATTGATATATATTATATTGGCCATATGTTAGTTGTGTATACGCTTTTAAATATACTGAAACTATTGTTCAATAGTATTGAATAATAGAAATTGTTAACGAGTGATATAAATATTTACAAAATTCTATTAAAATAGTGGAGTTTAATTACTATAATATAACATAATAAATGAATAACCAATTTTATACAAGCTGACATTTTCTAGGTTTATTTATAGCGTTTATTACTAAGTTATATATTCCTCATACTCCTTTTATTTTAATGGTATCATCAATTATTTTAATATGAAGTTACGTCATATTACAGACATACGTACACTTATATTAATTATTTTATCGAATTAGTTTTACTTTAAAAAAATCATTTTTTTTAAACTATTAACTTTTATAGACAAAGTAGATAACGAGGTAATGAAATAATATAGAAACTTATTACTTTTTTTGATAAATATGTATATAACAAGGTACTAAACGCAAATAAATAATTTATGATACTAAACTCGACGCCCGCGTAGCGCCGTAGCTCAGCGTAGCAACAGAGCGAAGTTTACGCATATTGGTTCTATTCATTTCCCACGACACCCTAAAGGTCTTAAAAGTGAATGCATTTTAATATCTAAATTTAATATTTGTTTTAACTGACTGATCATAAGATTTTTGAATTTAGGTTTCTCTTATGATGTGGATATCTTTAAATAAATAAATTCCCAATAGATCGAAATTCTTAATACTCCACATTTAACAATATATGAACTAAAAATAAGACTTCTACTTAAATATATCCTAGATTCTCTTGTTAAAGTCGATTAGATATAATATATACTATTTTTTACATTGTGTTTCGTTTTACAATGTAAAAACATATATACAACCTTTGTACATACCTATACATCATATAAGTTACTTATATTATATTGATGTACTTAAATACGATTCCGTGAAGTCATTAATCATCGCTTCAGTCAACAAGTAACAACAAAAAAATCGAACGCCGCTCTTTGGTAAATGGGGACAGAAATTTTCCATAACGTGTACGGAACCACCTGCTTCATGTCGAGGCTCGAGAAAAATTACTTTACATGATTTAGACTCTAAACTTTCGCGATCCATACTGAATTATAATTTGTTATTGATTTTGCCGTGTGGTACCGGCATAGAATATACACAATATAAATAAATATATATATATATATATATATATATATATATATATATATATATATATATATATATATATATATATATATATATATATATATATATATATATATATATATATATATATATATATATATATATATATATATATATATATATATATATATATATATAGAATAATAGACCCCCCTTCCTTTCCCGTGGATTTCGTAAGATGCAACAAAAGGCACATAATGGTCGAAAAATGTTCAGCAGCGTCCCTCTTAAAACTCTGCAAAGCCAACCGGCCTACCAAGCATGGCAACTACTGGCATAATTCCCCCAATAGAAGAAGAGTATGTATATATATGATACGGTATTGGTCACGTTGATAACTTCAAGAATACTCTAATAGATTAATTAATTTTTTTTTTTGTATAAAATTTTAAAGATTAAAGTTTGCAATTTTATTAAGTATATTACAATAGAAATATAGAAAATATATACTTGCATATATATCCTTTAATGTGAACTCAATTTGTGAATTTTGAATAGAAATAAAACTGATGATTACCAATTGTATATATACAACGTAATTTATACGTTACTTATTATATGGACTGATTGATTATTTAAACTGCCACGCCCTTGTTATATTTTTTTTTAATAAAGTAACTAAATTACCTACATAATTATGCAGACTAGTAATGATTGACAAATTTGCTTTAAATTAAATTTTATTAATTAAAATGATCATAATCCTAAAACTAAGTACAGCACAAAGCGCGTGCGCAACTTTAAATTCATAGATGAAAACAATATATTTATATAAACCGTTTAGCAATTATATTTAAGAATGTTAGTGTATAATAAACTCAAATTATTATAACTTAAATATTAAAATTATATCTTCCAAAGATTATGAATCAAAATAAAAAAAATACTTTGCTGTCTGGAAAAAGGTCCAAAGAATAATAATTATGGTGATGATGATGTATGTGCCTGTACACAGAATTCATATTATAAAATGTTCTTACTAACGATAGTTGGTAATAGATAATATTTCAAATTTACTATGAGGATATAAGAATGAAGGATAAAAGCATAGATTTATAATAATATCTACGCTTCAACAAATAGAATATGCCTACAACAAGATTTAAAGTTAAAAAAAAATCATATTAGATTGAATTGAAATGTAAGATACCCTTCCTTTCCCCTGGATATAGTAAAGGTGACTAAGAGAGCTTAACGATCGAGGGATGGACAGCAACAGCCCTTTTAAAACATCACCAAATCCTAGCGGTTGCCAAACCACCAAGCATGGCAACAAGCATGTCAACTACTGGCAAATCTCCCCTTATGGAGGGTGTGTTCAACACTGGACAGTTAACTGCTAATACAGTGACGATAATAAGATATAGCATAAACGATATTCTTTCCATACATACAAAAATCTATTTTTTAAATAAATTTCAATATATAGTGGCGATATATCAAATACAGTTTCACGCCTCAATAGAAAATAAATACTGAATGAAGGTATTCCAAAAAAAGCGATAAAGTCCCCAGACGAATGGCCGCAAGAGAGATTAGAGCAATGATAAATGTCTTCTGAATGAGTGATAGGGGTTGCATTATGAAAATAGTCAGTATTCACTAGCCCAAGAATATCTCCATGAATAACCTTTCTATGTATTAAATTTATTACTATATTCAAATTCTTCTACGGTGCTTTAAAATTGCGGCCAAGATGGCGAAGATATCTTGACACTGTCTTAACAAAGCATACAGACAGTATTCGAAAATCTATATTCTTTGGTCTTTTAACTCAATTTAATTACTTAAACTGAGCCTAGATTTTCCTATACAAATATTTTACAATTCATAATATCAGATATAAAAATATATACACTCAAATTATACGTTGAATCCACCGGGCAACATAGACTTCAGTAATGATAAATTCAAATCGTACTAAATAATAATAAGTAACCACAACCTTCAGCTTACTAATCAATCAACCAATAAACCATTACTCTTTCGAAGTACTAGAAATCTACTAGATTATCTCCTTAGCCAATTCAAACTTTACCCCGAAGTACTAAGGATACGAATTGCTCGTAGCAAGCATTCCTCTACGGTTATCCGTAGCGAGCTAAACTGACAGACACCGCACTTCGAGATCGTACATTGTAATACGTATACCGATTACTTATCGGCTTCATAGGTGTGTACATTAGAAATAATAAATCCATGAGGAACATGAGTTAGCGAGGCATTAGCGCTCGGGGTCGTCGAACGGCGTCGGCGTCCCGGCCGGGAGGGGCGACCGTTTCGGCGCGCGCTATCGATCGGATAGCCTACCTTCCTGCGGCCGCAGCAGAGCATCCTCCGAGCGCGCGACTGTCCGCCCGGCGAAGACTTCAACCTGGTAAGTTTTCGCCACTGCATGGGTACAGGTTAGCGCGGCGCTTGCGGGAGCGGCCGCGGGGCCGGGTGCTCGCGCATCGCGACGCCGGCGTCAGACGCGGCCGGAGCGCGCGAGGCTTCCTCGCGGAGTGCCCGCTGCACGCCCGCGCCTGCGCCCTCGTCACCAGCCTGCCACCCTCTGCCCCCTTACTCCTCGCGATTAATAATTCCGGCTACGCTGCCAGTGCGTATGTGGGTTAGTTTTTTGGCGATCGATGCGATTATTCGGTGCGAGCCACTTCCGGCCGATAGACTGTCGCGTTGCACCGGCCCACGACAATCGGGCAGACGACCTATTAATCGCCCTTTGACATCACCCGATAAGCCACGGCTAAATAACGCGTGTCGTGTCGTAGATGTAGGCTTTTTTGAGACAAAGTAGTAGAGCAGCGTCTCAACTTCCACTTTAAGAATTTTCGAATAGCAGACCAGGAGTCACTTTATATATACAATGTATGGCAACTGTTGTTGAAAAAGCAAACATTTTTAAATAAAAAAAAACTAAGAATGAAAAAGTAGCTGCCGTCGTCATGGTAAACTATACAGCACCATAGATACTATAGAATACACTATAGTACCCACTGTGTACCTCATATTTTTAAATTCTTGAGGATTGGAATTCAGATGGTATCATACCGTACCCAGTATTTATACTGCTCTTCAAACCAAAACAGAACTATGCACAGCTTCGTAGCAACAGACACGCTAAGCACCCGTGCAGACCTTTGTGCAAAGTCTCCTTCTGGTTAATTAATCTGTGCAATTTGCCACCACGTGTGACCTATCTGAAGACATGTTTTATGTACAGAGCTATCAGCAATCAAAGGGTACTCGCACTCTCAGCTATTAATTACCATATCATAATAGCCTTTAACTGTTCACTGCTGAACATAAACTTCCCCCTTGGGGATTTTGCCGATAGTTGCCACGCTTGGCAGGCGAATTGGCAACCGCAGTTCACCTTTGGAGATGTTTTAAGAGGGACGCTGCTGCCCATCTCTCGCCCTCCCTTAGTCACCTCTTACGACACTTACGGGAAAGGAAGGGGTGGCCTATTCTATGCCGAGACCACACGGCAATCAGCTACTCGTATTATTAATAAAAAGTAAAGATGCTGTACATTTACTTCAAAGATAATATATATGCAGTCCCTTAAAGCCGTGTTAGGACGCCGGGATAAGATTTAAGTTTTTTGAGGAAAAAAATAATTATAAGCTCCAAATCCCTTTATAAGTATTACTTTCTAATAGTGTATTGTTGAGTTCAGATAGATATTCTGTGAAACGGTAGCTTAACTGGGAAATAATTGGTGAGAAGGATTGTTAGTAATGTAGATTACCAGTCCTATTGCTAGTAATATACCCTGTCAGGTCGACCTCCACATGCCCCCCTCCCCCTGGAAACCATCGTATTGAATTCTAGGTGCTTTCATTGTAATGAGCTAACTGACCTGCCTTTTCATTCTCACCTAACATCCCTCAATGGTGCCCCGCCAGCGTAAACCTTTAGCGTAGGCGGAGTAATCATTACATTATCGTCAACTAAAAAAACTAGTAAGTAAGAGCAATAGCCCTGGCATAGCATAGGTTCAATTCCCGCTCTCTTAGAAAATTTGCAATCGCTAATTAACTGTTGGTATATGATTTTTATATTTCATAATATCTCTATGTTCAATAAGTACTTCACGACCACACTGATGCTATAATTAAGTAAATTGATATCTAAATTGGTCCAACCGAGAATTGAAGCTGGAACCCCATTAACTACGGTAAATAGGTCATATCAATTTAGCAACTTGGAATTTATATTTAATTTAAAGATATCCGCGACGTCCTTTCAACTCCATATCGTTTGGAAAGTTAAATATTTGGTTGATGTTAATTACAAGTACGGGTGCTTACATATAAATAGGTATACATATAATACATAATTTATCTAATTATTTCTGAAAAGTATGGATTATTATTTCGGTCTAAAGAATATTTTGTTACAATTAGTTTGTTAGAAGAATCTCTATCACATGAGACATAAAACCGCAGCCGTAGCCCAAAGAATCAAAATTGTAAATTATAATACTTTTTTGGGATTTGATTGATTTAATTCTTAGATATGATATTAAAATCTTAAAGAAATAAAAAAATAAACTACACAAAGAGAGTCTCATAAATACTACAGATGTATACTTACCCACCGTTCCCGTAACAAAAGCTTAATTTTAGTTTCCTAAAGGAAAACAAACTTTTAGAAAATAAGAAAAAAAATCCAAAAACACATCAATTTCAGCTGTGTATTATCAGACAGTCGCTTTTATCTTTTTCTGTCTTATCGAAAAACTTATAATTTCACTTTGTCACTTTCATATTCCTCACAAATAGATTATAACAATATTCAGTGTTGTCCATTTAAATCGCAATTTGTCGTAAAACATTTTAGTACACCGGTAATTACGAGATACACAATAATTACAAAAGCCAAGAGTCAAATACATTTGGGGAGAGATAATAAGCTACTACATGTCGCTGCGGGGACATCCGGGGACCACACAAAGCCGGTCCAAACCACATGTGGGTCGGAACACTGGGTACACTTTGAGATCGCCGCGCAGTTTCTGCTTACGGTTAAATTAATGGAATTTCACAACCTTTTTGGTACCTACACGTGACAAGAGGCAAATTGATATTAAGGGGGAACACGAAAGGACAATAAGGGGACGAGACATCGGACGTTGGGTAATTGTGGAATAATATTCTACCCTCTAATATTTTTTTTTTAAGATTTACTTGATTAAGGATCTTACCGCATTATGAAAATTAGCTACTTTATGACTGTTTTATGAGTTTTAGCGAATTAAATACCTCAATTACTTCACGTCTTACCAATAGTAAATGACTGCAAGTAATCTAGAATAATCTATGAAATAGTACTATAACACTTATATACTAATTTAATAAATAAATAAACTAATTAAATACTTTTTATTAATATTAATTAGTCTAAGTAATAACTTATACCGACTGTGATATCCAGTAAATATTTCTCTCTACAAAAAAGCACTTGTAAACTTGTTACAAAATCAACATGGATATGGAAGTGGTAAACTCCATCAATATTATAAAATAATTATTAAAATCGGTTCATGTGGACTATTTCGAGGTTATGCACCTTAAAGTGGTCCAAATACCCTTGAAAAATATAAAAAGTCCAAGAAAATTGTTACAATTTTTTTACAGATAAGTTACATTTATATACTATGGTTACACTATAAAGATTACACTACCGTTGACAACGTAGAATACTCTGTGACGATAATGGATGCCTGGTACCAATAGACCTGATATGCGTTACCATTACTGGGGACTTCAGTATTATGTCTCCGTATCTAATAACTTTCGTAGCCATAATAACCGTGTGGTCCCGACCCAGAATGGGCTACCCCTTTCTTTCTAATGGATACCAGAGGGAGACTTTGTACAAAAGTCGATTGCTTGGGTACCTCTATCCCATTCGTGTTTCAACCGTGAAGCAGTTGTGTTTGCATGGCTGTGTTTCGGTTTGAAGGGTGGGATATGGCGTGAATTTACTGGGTACAGAGGAATAACACCTGAGTCCTCAGGAATGGCAACGCATGGGGGGTATCATGGGCGACACAGTATACTCTGTTCTGTCCATAGTACTGCTCATGTCTTTAAGCAACGGTTACCACTTTCCATCAGCACGTTTGCCATTCTAAGTTGTATAAAAAAAAAATATCGTAAGAGGCGACTAAATAAATTTAATGGTCGAGGGATAGACAGCAGTCTCTGTCTTAAAACGTCACCAAAGCCTAACTGCGACTGGCGATCCACCTGCCAAGCATGTCAACTACTGGCTAAACCTCCCAAGAGGGAGGGCTATGTTCAGCAATGAACAATGAACAGCTGATATGATATGATGATCTACTAACTTCGCTGCAATATCTCACCCTTAATGTGACGTGGGCCCTTCGGGTGACTTCCGTCCCATATGACAGTCTATGGGTGAGACCTATGTTCAGCAGTGGACAGATAACTGCCTATTTGATAATGATGATGGTCTCACCCTTAAAAATAAAAATTATGTACCTAAATACAACTACTTAGTGGCAAAAATACTAGGGAGACAGAAGTACCCATACTGTCAACTATGCACAGTCTCCCTCTAGCAATATAAGTAGTTTCTTACTTTAGTCGTGGTCCATATATTAGACGACACAGACTAATAGATTAGTCTGAAGTCTGAAGGCTAATACGAAATAAGTGATATTAACATTGCTGTGGAAGATATTGCAGTGGCAACTCTAAAGCGGAGAGTTCTTTTCCATTTAAAATTATTCTCAGTGAATATATAGATAAAACGACATAAGCATAATTTAATCTTATACAAACAAACAAAGGCAGTCGATTGAAATGAAAATTAAAAAAAAAAACCCGCGATTTGTCCTTGTGTTATAATATAAAAATCCTATATTAATCTATAATACAGTTTGTGTTAGTTTATTCAAATTGCTTGAACCAGAAGTTTGATTAAATAGCAAACATCCAAAGACACATTTATTTACTTTTACATTTATAATAATAAAACAAAATATTGAAATAATTGGTTTCAGTAAATAAATTGAAATAGCCTTCCATCAAACTCGTATCTTTCAGTTATTTTCAATTAAATACCTCAACCCACTATCAAATACGAAAGACCTGTTTGCCAATCCCTCAAACCATAAGTGAATATAACAAGCATTTTATGAAATTTCAGCAACTTTGTATAATACGGTAGGCTAGCGCGCACCCAGCTCTTAATTCACAGATTGCGTGGTGTCCCAACACTGGAATTGATTAGGGCAATTTAGTAAATTATTTTTATTTTCGTTTCTACGTCTCAACACGACGTGAGGGCGAATATATTACATGCTGAAACACTAACTTGTTATTATGTACATTATTCGCTAATTGAGTAATAAAAGAGTATAGACTTCACAGCTAAATTACAATTCTTAGGTCACAATACTCCCTTCAAATTCTTCTGTTCTTCTCTGCTCGTAACCTGCTGATATGGTCATTA